GGGCTCCTTCGTGTTCCATCGAAAGCCCAGCTTAGACTAAGATCCAGCAACAACACATTTCTTCGCTCTCGCAAGAAATCCGGAATGCAAAGAGAGATATCCTTAAATTGGCCATATCGAGCCAGAACACAGCGCTCATGAGGGGCTGAATTGAACACTGAATTTTTCTTCAGTGACACATGCCTTAAATACGTCTCGAATGGGTGATAAATTTGAATATATGAAAATTTTTGCAAATTTTCCGTTTTTAAATATTTAATTTTCGTTCGTTTGGGAACACATAGTTGAGTGGTACCGGAAAGAAAGTGTACAGTTACTTAGGAATATTATTGATACTGTTATTACTAGTACCGGTATTATCGTTACTATTGTTATAGTTGTTATTATTACTGTTATTATTATTATAGTTGTTATTATTACTGTTGTTGTTATTAGGATCCAGAAAGTAAGCAAGCACTGGTAAGCTTCAGAGAGATAGTGCGTATACGTTGAGCAAGTGCAGTGGATATTAACTGGATATTAACTGGGGCTCTAGGATCGAAGGCCTGGTGTAGTTGTGCTTGACTTTTGGACATAGGCAGATCCAGAATGAACTCACGGGGAGGGTGTGAGGGGGAAGGGGAAGGAGGAAGGGGGTGCGATAGGAGATGGGGAGAGCCCCTTCCCTCCCTGGTACTGTGCAAATCCCAGGAATAGAGTTGTATGCTGCTACTTAAAATTACTTTAGTTTTATTTATGAACAGACCCATGCTTTTTCAGGCCTGCGCTTCCCCCTCCCCCATCATCCTCCTCCTCTCCCCTCTTCCCTTGGGTTTGACTGCGCTTGTGGAGCACCTAGTAAATCTGCTAATAAGGAATCTTCACACCGACTGTCCGATCAGTTTTGGTGTTATTGATATGACTTTCTCTATATTAGTTTTGCTATTTTTGATAAGCCAGAAAAACTTGGAAAATTTACAAATTGTATAAGTCAATCTTTATCCATTATTATGAGAGATGGACTGAAATACTACTGCATATTATTGATATGCAGATTTTTCTAATCAATACTCAGTCACTTCTGCAACCCAAAAATTTGTGTACAAAAATTTCGAATTGTATAAATTGGGCCGTGACACTCATTATTTTTGATCATATTGTGACGTATTCTAGGTTACCCGTTTGGCCGATTTCTTCGCTGAGGATGATGTATTTATTGCGTATGGAAAAGAGAAAATGAGTGTCGACGATTTTTATGTTGTTTCGGAAGGTGATTGATTTTTTCGTAAATTCTTTTATAGGTTTTTCGAGTGTTTTGTTTTTTTTTTTAAACAGCGGTTCTGGATGCTCCTGAAATTTCATTTTTCGGAACCCTGGGGGTGACAATAGAAATTTCAAATTTTCAGTGGGTCTACATCAGAGGACATTATTTCGAAAATAATGTTTACAGAATCAAAAAGGCTCTACAGTTTACGGCCTCGTACACCACGTGGTAAGCCAACAAAGAGAAGGATGCCAGCAAGAAATGAATCGCTGCGAGAAGATCGAGCTGGAAGTGTTGTTCCTGATTCGGAAATGAGTGCGCTCATTTTTTGTTTGTTTTTTTTTTTTTTTTTTTGAGATTTAAGGATCAGGTATTTATTGGAAATACTTCCTTCGGCTGTGATCTAGCGTGTTTCTTTAGCTGTGCAGCTGACAGCCTTCTCTGTTGCTTTGACCAATGCTGCATTGCTTGACAGATACGAATTGTTGGTGATCCTGACATTAGTTTCGTTTCCTGAAGGGACTATCAACTTGACCATTTTCCCAGTTGAAGTGCTTGGGAAGGCTTTAGCCGTTTCGAGATCTTTTTGGTATGTGCTGAGCATCACCACCTGGGATCGTGTACCGTATCGACTATGAGGATTCCAGATGCGGTATTTTTATGTATTTTTTTGTTACCTGATGTAGCAGTGAGCAAGATAACTAATGAAATTTTCAGGCCGTAAATTACCGCTAGCTCTGGATAGTGTAATACATCTTGTGCGATTGATTGGTGATGGCAACACAGCACTCGTTTATGAAACCTTGTGCAAGTATATATTTTTTGTTTAAGATTTAATGAGTAATACCTGACAAGGGGTAAGTTCGGAATTCGAATTTTACCGCATACGACGGCGAAACAGTCGTCCAACGAAGCGCAAATTTATAGTTACTTACTTTGACTAGTTTGCGCGCGACTTTGATATTCGTTTCGTCGGCTGAAAAAATTGCTAGCTCAGTAATTTTTCTGAAAAAAACACTTGGTTGAGCTTTAGCAGTTCCGAACTGTCCTTGGTGTGCATTGAGCATCAATACCTCGTTCTGAATGTTACCACTTGTGGGCGGCGTTCAGAAGAAATTTAGGGACTAGAAAGAATATGATCATAGAGATATTAATGATGATGCATATAAAATATGAAAATAAAAGTACAAAAACATTGAAAAGAATAAAAAATATTAAAAAATTAGGGGGACGGGAATGTTGTGGTTCACTTTTTTCAGGAAAACCCATGAAAGGAAGGCACTGAAAGTGATTGCTCGTGAAAGTGTGATCGGTAAAGAGGACCTGATAAAATCAGAAATTGCAATAATGCGGAGGATATCGCACGAATTTATCGTACAAATGCATGATTGTTGGGAATTCGAAGGATCTTTTTATTTGTCACTGGAACTTGTTACGGTACCAATCTTTGATCTTTTTTATAAATAAGATCACAGAACAGGCAAAAAATAAAAATAAAACTCATAAGACGAACTAAAAAATTTGAAAATTGTGGGCCGAAATTCTCTTCAGATTTCACTTCATGAGGAAATTGGAATTGCTGTTGTGTAGTAGGCCGAGGATTTGACTCACCCTGGTGAACAATCAATCTATCTACGATTCATTTATTCGTTCTGACGATATTTTGGCGCAGGTATATACCAGAGAGCTGTTGCCACCATCGGCCTGTTTGTTACTCTTGGAATGAAAACAGTCGGTGGTCTTTTAGCGCTTGGTTGGCGTTGGCATCTGCTACCAATTGGGCTTACCATTTTTCTTCCCCTTTTCTGGAGGGGTGATTCCCTACATGTGTTACATTTTGTAAGCTGAAAATGACTTTATGGCTGGAGTGAGCACCTCGCAGCAATCTTTTTTAAAGCCAGGCCATCGCTACTTCAGTGTTTTCAGGGTGGTGATTTGTTCGAATATCTCTGTAAAGCTCGGAATGTTAATGAACGATGTGCGGCTAGATTGTTGCGTTGTTTGGCATCGGCGCTTGATTACTTGCATGCTTTAAATATTGTTCATCGTGATGTTAAACCGGAAAATTTGTTGGTTAGTTCCAAAGTGACACATTGCTAATAGCCATTTCGCTATAAATATCCTTGAAATGCCCGAAGCCGTGGCGCAACTGCAAATCGAAACTCAGTTTAGGTGTCCGATTTCCCCTATGAATGATAAATACTCTGACAAAAAATTTGACCAGAAATATTAGTTTCGCCCGGATAATCATTGTGAGATTCGCATGTTTGTTATATTACTGGATTGCGTCCATATGCCCGACCCAGCTCAGCAATCCTGTTTGGTCCTGAATGGCTTATCTCCAGTTAATATCCACCGTTTGTTCGATATCTATGCATGCCGTCTCCTCAGTGACCACTTGGGTGGGTACTGCCCTTCACATTTTTAATAAATAGTCGAAAGAAAGGAAACGAAAGCATTCATCGCTAAAAAGTCTAGCTGTTTTGAATCAGTTGGGAAAATCGATTCTTTTTGTTTAAGAATTTCTGCAAAAAATCAAAAATTGTTACTGCGATTATTTTTTGAAGGATTAATTCAAGAAAAAAGGAATTACTAATTTTCGAAAACAGTGCTTTGAAATAAGGGATACTTTCAAGCCATATTTTAGTTTTATCGCTATATCAAGCTAGTTGATCATTTTTTCCTAGTAGTGAAAGATTGAGAGAGATTTTGGTGGAAGGTAAGAGAATTTATGCTTTCGATTCCAGTACCCAAATTAGAGTAAGTTAGACAAGGATTGCTTTATTGATATCCAGGTACAGATAGTTATCTCGAGCCATATCACGCAACCGTGGAATTTAGAAGTTTTTCGAAGACTTTGAAAATTTTCCAGGTCTATACTTGTCCATACACTGGTGATTTGCAATTGAAACTAGCGGATTTTGGTTTAGCGGTTGAAATGATTGGTGAACCGTTGACCATAATTTGTGGGACACCAACATATGTTGCTCCTGAAGTAAGTTAACTTTGACTTATATTTTTAAATAGCTCTTCAGTCTGAACATTTGCACATCAGTAACGGTCAGAACCGCGCAATAAAGCACAAGTTTGTATTGAAGATGGCAGTATTGGTTAATTGTGAAAAAATGTTTGTTTATTTCAGGTTCTTGCAGAACTTGGTTACGACCATAAAGTGGATCTCTGGGCTGCTGGTGTCATTCTTTATGTACTTCTGTGTGGTTTTCCACCTTTTCAAAGGTTGGAATTTTAGTTTACGAGCGGACTATCGCTTTTTGATTTCAGTAGAAATCCTGGATACCAAGATCGCCGGGTAATCAGTGGAGGTATCCGGTGTTAGTGACATTCTTGTGATGTTTCTACACGCCGAGCACAACTATTCGAGGACTTTCGATTCTGCCCTCCAAAAATTTTAAATATTCTTAAATGGTTATCTCTTCCTCTTTTAGTCTCCCATCTTTGGGGACTTGAATGGTACCGTGATGCAGATACATGTTTCATGCCGCCGTGGGTTAGCTTGTTGGTGAGCTCAAGTTTGTGATAATTTGCATCGAAAAGGCTATCTTGAAATATTTGGCCAGATTCTTTACCTTTGTATCTGGCAAGTTTTCTAGTTGCTTTGAGCATTAGGTGCTGCATAGCGTAACGTTCAACTTGTTGGTGATTTCGAGCTTCGCATGACCAGTACAGATCGCAAACTTTACAAGGTTATTGCGACTGGACTAAATCACCTGGTGGTAATGGTCAGTGTGCTATACTGATTGTGACCATAGTTCCCATGCTTTTTTCGATCTTTTGAAAAAAAGTACTTGTTGTCTTGCATTCATGGAAATAGGTATAACAAGAAATGAAAAACTTCAAAACATAGGGTAAGTAGATAAACCTATTTTTTCGGCTCGTTTAACTATATAAATAGTTAACTACTGATACTGAGAATGAGTTACGACAGTGGAAATGTGAATTTCAGTACAAATGGCAGTCAGGTGCAGTTATTCGAACAAATTCTAAGTGGGCGATTCTCATTTCCATCACCATTCTGGGATAAAATCTCATATTCTGCTAAAGGTCTTATTCAAGGATTGCTTCAGTTGGATGTAGAAGAGCGCTTTGTAGCTTCACAAATTCTGGCATATCCATGGATTCAAGTTTGTTTTGCTAATTTTTTTTTTTGTTGAGGTTGCATCGGACGTGTAGATGTACCTGGAAGAGCTGTTAATTCATAGTCATAGGTGCCATTCAACAGCTTATGTCATCCTATATTTATCTGCTATCATTACCGCATGACCAGCCTAGTTTTTCTTAATTTCATACGTTTGCGCATGTATCTTGAACAAATCCGCCTTTCAAAAATAGTTTTGGACCGGAAGGGAATCGAACCACTTTCCTTCACATTCAGACGCAACTTGCTACCCACTACACTACTAGCCGTTGTGTTCCACAACTAGGCTGACAGCGCATCGCCTGTGTATCTGCCTTTTATAGCAAAATTGGAAGAATCTCTCGTGGATAGTATAAAACTTTTTCTTTGGTGGCATCTTCTTTTTCTGTTTTTCGCGGGTTTTCCACCCACCGTGGGTGGATAATAACAAAAAAAAAGGCTGGTCCTGGTGATCTTCTTGCATGCCATTATGATTGAATTTTCTTTCAACTGTAGTGTTTTTGTTCACTGCTTCAAAGTTTACGATTTTAGTTATAATTAAATCCGTTTGGAAACTGATTCGTTTTTAAGATTGGAAAATTGCTTCTGCTAACTAGTATGTGTTTAAGGGTGGTGGTGTAGTAAGCGAAGAATATGAGAGATTAATGGAAGCAGCAGTGAAAGCGAAAGTTCAGGATGAGGCACGACGAAATGCTCTGGAAGAAAGCGAAGTGGAATTCTACTTTTCAAGGTTTAATATGGTTTGGCACTGATAAGTATGCATTGGGGAAGAATGATATGGAATGTATATGTACGTAATTTTCTTGATTTTCCTCACTCGATGGAATAATTGGTTTGTACAAAGAAAACATGTATGACTGCGAGCCGCAAATTTGGCATTTTTTCAAAAGTCCCAGTCTTTTTTTTTTTTTCAGGAGAACGAGTATGGATGAACTGAGTGAGTGCCACGAAGGAGCATCATCCCAACATAATAGTTCATTCGAGTATTTGCCGAACAATGAAAGTGATAGTATGAATGATTGATAAGACAGCGTGTCTGACAACAAAAAGAATCCTTAGCTTTTGCTTTATATGTACAGAATCAATCCTTGCGATCTTGAAAATTAATTTTTTTCGCTTTGAGATTCGAGCTATATGTTTTTGAACTGTTTAATACCATTTCAGGAAAAAAATTTTTTCCCTACTGGAATAATGATGACCAGGAGTGATATTAAATTTTTTTTTTTTTT